GCGTCTTGGAGACGTTGCCACAGTTCTTCTGGATTTAGTCTATCTCAGTTTGTTCTGTTTCTTCATGTCATTCCAGACAGACTGATGATGGTGAGATCAGATCTCTGTGTGCAGCACTGGCTGTTGTCAGACTCCTTGTGCAAACAAAAATCTCACTGGATTATTACAATTAATGGCAAAATGAATGTTTGGAAATGTAAACTGATATTTCCTACTGACACACTACAGTAAAAGATCATTTTGGCCACCAATGTATGTATATATATATATATATATATATAATAACAGCTTCAGCAAGTAGAACATTTAAACAGCTGTCTACAATCGTACTGCAAACTCACTGAAAAAAAAAGTAATTTAAATCTCTCATGTATGAATCTACATACTCTGTTCTGTTTAACATCTGTGGCAACAGCATTTAATTACAAACATATGTGATTTCCTTTTTTAAAATGAAAAAATAAAATAAAATAATAATATAGCATCCAGTACTTTAAACCATTGTGTGTTTGTGTAGATAATATTTGAACAGCTTTCCATATCCATGTGGGTTTTGGTAGCGTATTTTAAATGACTTGGTGAGTCAAATAAATAGATGGTATGGACAGATTTAATAAGATGATTCATCAGTAAACTGAGCATGAAAGCAGCTAGTTTTAAACACAACAAAATTTATTTTTCCGGCCTTACTTTGTTCCTTGTTCTTGGAAAATGCCATTCAACCCACATGATTTGTCCTGTAAGACCCAGTCACTGCATCTCATGATACAGATCTTCACTTTCGACGCTGCATAAAACTTACGTGACTCCTTCAGAGAGCGGTTTCAAAAAGAAAAAGAAAGCACACAGATTTATCAAAATGTTTATTTCTGCATAAACATGAACAAACTTTCTTTGGCTGCTCTTCATTTGTTTAAAGTTGATTTTGTATCATGTAAATTATTACATAATGCTGCAACACCAGAAAACTCATCAACATTTATACAATTTTCAAAGGTTATGACTCAACTATGCAAATGAGAATAAATAAACAAAAACAAATGCCTTTGAGACATAAGAGACAACACAATGATATTGTTTATGCATTGCAGTATAACACTGTACCTGTATAGCCTGTGTAACAGTGCAAATGAACCAACAACCCAGTCAGTGATACATTTGTTAGATTTAAGTTGAGCGGGAGTCATTTATATACACGTTCAAGAGATTACACGTTCAATTTTCAAATTTGAATCAACACCGCAATGGAAAAAAAAACCCAGTATATTATTATTATTAAATGTTCCACAGAAGAAATAAAGTCATATAGGTTTGGAATGACATGACAGAAATATAATTTTGGGGTGAACTAAGTTTAGGCTGATGTAGTAAAAGTCATTTTAGACAAACATGACCAGACAATATAATAAAGGGCTTAAGTGCAACACATTTTGGTTGTGAAAACATAATAGAGAAATACAATAACACAATTTTATGCAGGAAATGTATGACGTATTGAGCCTACTTAGTTTAATAAACTTGATGTATTTTCATAATAAGACATGAAATTATAGTTTTTACATGTCTTGACTATCTGAAGCAATCAAACCAAAACATCATGACAATACACAATTAGATATACAAATACAGGCATGTTTCTTGGCTTTATTAACATGTTAAACAACACTGAGTTAAGACATGGACATACTGTATGTACTAATGGCAATTGAAGTCTGACGATTTTGTGAACACTAGACATTGAAAATACAAACCAATGATTTTGCCCACAGAACACTAATATTTTAGGTACATTTCAGCTGTGGTTAACTTGGCTAACTCTCTGCTGACACACATCTGTTGATCATAGGCTGTTTTCATTACAACCACTCTGTCTGATAAATGCAGTGCTAGTTTATGGCAGCTAAAGTTTCATAAGGTAAATCTGTAGCCAATCATATGATGCTGAAAAACTTTGTGATTTGATGATTAATATACTTTCTTTTATGTCACGTACACACGTAAGCCATTTGTAGTAAGCCTATAAATGCTCTCTCTATAGCACTACCAAAACCCCCTGTGCTTGAGCATGAGGAATACTTTCACTTTGATTAGACGACAAAAAAAAAAACAATACTTTGTGTTCTCAGGATGGAGACAATTTAAATATGTACACTACCATTCAAAAGTTTTAAAAAACGTTTGTTATGCTCACTAAGGCTGCATTTGAATGTATTTTAAAATGTATTTTAATCCTGTGATGTCAAAGCTGAATTTTCAGCAGCCATTACTCAAGTCTTCAGTTTCACATGATCCTTCAGAAATCATTCTAATATTTGGTGCTTATTATCGATGTTGAAACAGTTGTACTGTTTAATATTTTTGTAGAAACTCTGATAACTTTTTTTCCCCCCCAAGATAGATGAATAGAAAGTTTAAATTAAAAGCATGTATTTGAAATACGGTGGAATTAAATTACAATGTTTTGTCACCTTTGATCAATTTAATGCATCCTTGCTAATTAAAACATTTATATTAAAGAAAAAAATCTTACTGACTCCAAACTAGAATGGTAGAGTATATCTGCTAAAAAAGTGAATTTTAGCTAGCATAAAAAAAAAATATTTTTCAAAGTTATAAATTAAATAAAGATTATTGAAGTATATATTTACAGTCTTTCTACTTAAAAAAAAACATGTTTAATTCAATGTTACTTGTTGCTCTTTCTAATTGTGTGACATTTAAACCTATAGCAAAATCTTTTCAGTGTAGCATCTAGACAACCTCAAATCTAAAATTTACGGACAAAAAGCCAAAAACTCCTTTCATGTGGTCAAGTGCGTGAGTTTGTGTATGGCCACTAGGAGACACAAATGTCAGATTTGCAAGACACATCCAATCTAATCTCTAAAATAAAACTTTCCACAGACCAAGACCATTACAAAACACCATACAGTATGAACCAAATACAGTCCTCGGCTAATGATAATTAGTCTATTAAAGAGTCATCAACAGACACTTCACTAAATAACAAGACAAAACCCTGAAAGTAGAAGCAGGTTTATTCTGAATGCCTCTACATGCGTGATCAGATGATTAATTCTGGCCTGAAACTTGTTACTATTTTGGGTCCGAGTGAGTTTCATCTACACACTTCCTCCCTTTTAGAGAAACAGCTGTTGCAAACAGAAACCCAGTGGGTGCAATCAAAATGCAGATGTCCTCCACAGAGGTTCAAGCAATACTGAGGGAATACGAGCTCCACTATGGAGCGTGCAATTCAGGAGGAGCCACACACGGACTACTAACGTCTCGACCCTCCTTTGACATTTACACTTCAAGAGCTCCACGCTCATCAACACCATCTCCTTGTAGTGGTAGAGAACGAGAGAGAAGGAGAAAAAAAGCTGAGAATCAGTGTGTCCAGTGAGGTCAGTCGGCTGGTTCAAACGCAGGTTCCCTGGTGCACCGTGTGCTGCTGTTTACGGCTCTTTAGACTCAAGCACTTGTCTTTGAAGTCGCCGGCCCTCTGCTGAGACGTATCAATAAGAGCACTGGCTATGGTAATGCCTGTGGGGAGAAGGAAGAGATGAGAGTAAGGGAAGGAAGTGAGCTTCAAAGAAGAGGACTCAGAAGTGCAGCAGGTGAGGCGCAGCCTCCTGATAGGAGCACACCGACACTTAACAAACAAACCTCAGTGTCTGTCAATATCACAGCAGTTCAAGCTCATCTTACAACCATCAGTGCAGTTCACATTGCTATTTGTTTTTTTGTTTTTACAACTGTACGCACTTTTTAGAAAACATTGCATTCAGCATTACAGCTTGGTTGGAAATCAAACAAATCATATAAATCTATGCTAAAATACATCTGAAAACGAGCAAAAATAAATGTTTTAAAGACAAAAGTGCCAATGTTTATTACTGGGATAAGATTATAAGATTATCAGTATTGGAGCAGGGATGTTTTTCTGTCTGCACATGTCAGATCTAAGAGCAAAGTCTGAAAGCTCATTGTTTACCTTTGTAATCCTGAAATGAGGGAACAACGTGGTGTATCTGATATAGTTTGATCAGACTCGTAATGCTACAGGCCACATTCATCATTCAATATGTATTCAGAAGAAGCAGCTCTGAGAAGGAGTGGAGGCTCTTTGAGCTCGTGTGTAATTTGGACAGCATGTGTTGATGTTTTACACATCAGAGATTCCTTGCAAGTCTATTATTGAATACTGGTCACCCTGATGAGTTTAAAGCTTAATTCCTGAACGCATTTACAAAGCATAAATGAGAGCTAATAACTTTCAGATGCGATCTGTGGTAAGAATTAGAGTTGTGACTGAATAAAGCTTGCTGGAGAAAAAAAAAAAAGAATTGAAAAAAATAAGTAAAATTAAATAACTAACTAAATAAAAAATGAATGAATTAATAAAAAATATATAATAAATAATATACAGTGGGTACGGAAAGTATTCAGACCCCCTTAAATTTTTCACTCTTTGTTATATTGCAGCCAGAATTAAATAAACAAACAACATATAAATATTAGTGCTGGGCAACGATTACATTTTTAATCGCGATTAACTCACGAAAAAAGTTGCCAGCCACCGCCAGCGATTTTGATGATTTTCACTCAAATTTGATGGCCTCCAGTATATTTTGCTGTATGAATATTTGAATATGCAATACACCAAAATAAAGATCAGAGCCTCTACTTTTAAACAAAAAAAAAAATCAGTTTTAGTCTAGCTTTAAAGCATTATTTTTTTATCAACACTTGAATATAGGTAGGTTTCATAAAAATGCATAATTTTGAGCAAAAAGGTGAGAAAATCTAATTTTTATCAAAAACTATGTCTGGATAATATTCAGTATGATTATCAAAGCATAAATCCAGTAAATCGCTTCCATCAACACCTCCAAAGCTTGCACAGACATATACTACTTCTTGGATCAACATTTTACTCCGTAACATTATGCAGTTGTCATTTATATGCTGTCTATTGCTGATGATCGCATTATTTTTCATATGCATTTGTTTACATAAGAGATCGCTCGTTTCTCCGTCCTATTCATGTGTGTTTTTGTTCGTGAGGTTTTGTACTCGTTCAGAAAATGTGTAATAGCGCCCCCAAGTGTATAACAGTGAAAACACGAAAAGCCGTAAAAACTCGTCTTTGGCGCGGAAGCGTTTTCTTCTAAAAGACGAGATAACTCGTCAATGGCGTGGAACGAGTTAACAGCTATTTGCCACTGCCAGGGCATGAATGTTTTTATAGAAAATATTTTATAGTTTGTTATAGAAAAACAAGTTATGCTCAGAGTCCAGCACCACGATCATAACAGTATAACAGGCATCTTCCGAGTAGAGACCTGCACTATCGCGGGACCTAACGCAGCAGAGTGCAGCATGGGACAACACTTGATGAGCAAGTGCAGGTGCGGACGGGTAGAGACTCGTGTGGGATGCGGGAAAATAAGGGTGTACTCACACTAGGCAATCTTAACCGTGCCCGAGCCCGTTTGACCCCCAAAGCTTGGTTCGTTTGACTAGTGTGATTGCTCTGTGCCACACTCGGGCTTGGTTCGTTTAGCTGGCCCTGGCTCGGTTGGAAGAGGTGGGCCAGAGCGTGGTTCACTTGGGCTTGGGTGCGGTACGCATGCAGTGTGAGCGGTGCGCGGAACTTCTGATACGTGCAGCATGATTGCGTAAACATTTCTGAGTGGCAAAAGTGATAGAGCTGTAAAGCAATATATTGTGGGAGGGCCGTGTGTGTTACCACGTCCCAAACGACTCAAAATAATAAACCACAAAGTTAACAAAACGATGCACTCCACTGTGCTGAGCGAGAGCGCTTCTCTGCTGCCTTCAAGAGTCAAGAGTCAAGAGGCATTTATTTATCATTTGCATAGTTAACACTGGGGAAAACTGGGCATTGAAATGCTTGTGACGAGGCTCAGACATACAGTGACAATAACAGGACCATACAAAAAAAAAAAAACATACAGATATAGACGGTAGCGGCACGCCGGTGTGTGATCATGCAGATTCTGCGGAAACTTCCTATTTCCCACTTATGAAGTCGTGAGCGCTTCATGTGAGCGCTGCTGCAGACTAAGGCCCACCCCAAATGCTCTCATTGGTTGAGACGCGTGATGACGCCCATCCCAAGCCAGTACTGAACAACATCCCACCCCTCCTGTGACCCATGGTTTGTCTATATGTGTATTCAGAGCCAGTGAGCAACGGACTTTCATAATAATAAAAAACTGCGTTAACACGCGATAAAATAATTGTCGGCATTAATCAATTAATGTGTTAACGCAATAATAACGCATTAACTTGCCCAGCCCTAATAAATATACAACTTTGCATGGATGGACCTAATATTTTTGACACTATTCCACCAAAGCATGATTGTTGGTGTAATTTCTTTCAATTACCTTTTCAAAATATCAGTTCAAATTCACCTTCTTGACCCAGTATTTGAATGAACTGCATTTGTTTACAGCACACACTCTACATAACAATAGGACAACATCATCTAAGGAACAAAATGTTTTCCACCGAGGAGAGCTGTCCGTCTCAAGTGAATTAATTGCGAGGGTGAATCAAATCAGGTGCGCATGAGGAGAAGGCTAAAGTGCTCTCAACTAATGGAAAATCAAACTCATTATTGTGATCTTTGGCAGGTGAACTGCTTGCATGATTAACCCTGATGAATCCTGCACTTTGAGACAGGATGTGCGAATCCGAGAACTCCATTAAAGGTAATCAGAAAGACTTTGTTGACCTGAGGCATGCATCACTGTAAATGAACCCTTTATAGCACCTCCATTATTGGTAACGGCCGTTGTCTCATCCATGTGAAGCGTAAATGCCTTCCCGCCACGGCCCGCGTTTGCCGTGAGCGATGCGCGTGAGACAAGTTCCAGAGATAATCGGAAGAATGTCTCTGCGGGAGCCGAACGAGCAGCTGTCTCTTCGCACCACCTGCCTCTTCACAAAGTGTCATTATGCCACACCAAGGTCACTCTTTCAACTGATGAGTGTTTTCCGCAAGTAATCAGCCACACTCCAGCCTCAGTGTGACGCCAAGGTTACTCTGAGAGGGAATACACTCTCAACCTGACTTTCTATTTCCTTGAGTCATAATGACTTCACCCGTCATTCGCCAGCCATTGGTGGGACGTGAGATCTGGTGTGGTGGGGGTCAACAACATCATTTAACTTCAATGTTACTCGTGTGATTAAGGTTAGGGTAATGAACTCACTTGGTGTTTATTGTACAACACAGGCCTGACAGCATAGGTGACAACGGCTAACAGCGCTAGCACACAAACATCAGCGCTGTGACGAATGCTAATGGAGTTTAGAAGTTTAGAAGTGAAGAAAAGAGATAAAGTTTTTCTTTTTCTTTAGCTGAAATGACTGAGCTATAAGTGGCATATTTTATAATTATATTCGCTGCTCAATTCTACGATAAATCTTGCATACAGCTGATATCACTTTCCACATTAGCAGACCTTCAGATCTCGCCTTTCAGTTTTCTGCTGACCAAAGAGGTTTTAAACCATCTGCTCGGAGGCCCAGAGCAATTAAATGGATAGTTCACTCAAAAATGACAATTATGTCATTATTTATTCACCCTTATGTTGTTTCATACTTTTTTTCTGTAGCTATTTAAGTAGCTATTGTCATATGACAGATCATAGTGATGTATATTTATAAAACAGTGAGATCCAGTCCTCAATTCTGATTGGTCAGTAGCTGTGTTTTATTCACAATACAGCACGGCTATGCCCGCTTCACCCAACAGTTCTGTGTATCACTTAGCAACCACCCTTAACAACATAAACAATCAATAATATAGCATTAAAACTGTTCCATGTATTATGTATTTCAGCAAAATTAACTAATTAATTTAACAAATAATTTATTTAATGAAGTATGAGTGACCCCTGCTGGCATTATGTTCCATCTTTTATCTTTAATTTTGAGACCACGCACTTCCCCCCATCGCTTTGCGTCGTGCCTAACAATACACTTCAGCCGTGACTTATTCACAATACAGCACGGCCCCTCGTACCTTATTGCTTACATACTGTATATTGGCCCATTACAATGAGGGCTGAACAATTAATTGCATTTGCGATAATATCGCAATATGAAAATATGCGATTTTTCAACAGCAGAGGCTGTGATTACATTGTCACGTGACACGCAAGAGTAAAGAGGTGTGTTCGACTTGAAGATCGATCGGTGTATCACATCAAATTACGGCGACGTCCACTCTCTTATAGCTCTCGCAGTACTTTGATGACACACACCGATGTGCAGCGCTGCTTCAAGTCGAACACATCTAAGCAGTCTTCAGAGGAATCAAATCAGTCAATATGCTGTGATTGTAGTTGTTAAATAAAAGTGTCATTCATATCAATTCATGCATCACCTAATTTCATCGTAACATATAGGCTTGGCTTACAGAAAAGAACATTTATGTTTAATCTATCTAATATTGTGTTGGTCATACTATACAATGATTTAATGCTCGTACGCGATTGGGCTTG